TTTTGACTTTTAATAATTAACAAGTTAATAGCAAGGTAACGAAGTCCCTTAATAAATCGGGTCGTTCTGACTTTTTACTTTTCCGGCTGTTATGTATACATAAAGGAAAGTATTGGAGTCGTGTCAAATTTGACCCTCAGAGTTTTTTGCAAATCTCCACGTTTTCAGATCTCCTGAATCCAAAAAGTAAAAAAAAAAAAAAAAGGCAGTTTTTGGGTATGTTTTGCTTAATATCTCAGGATGAGATAAAGATTAAGAAACGAAATTTGGCATGGCTTTATATGTGAGGTGCATTGATGCTATTAAATTTTGGTGGTGAACGAGAAGGGGTAGGACTTAATAAAGATTTTATTCGTTATTAAAATTTATANGCTTTGTAAAGAAAGTTCCTTAATCACTTCTTTAATCACCTTTAATTAATTGCTGTACTGAGATCCATCCTAGCGCGAAATGAAAAGACAAACCGTGTCTAAAGACTTCTCCTGAGATGCTCAACTGGCTTAAAGCCGAGAATATGTTTTACTCTTCGTCTTTGCTCAGAGTGTTTTTTGGCTTCAAGATAAGCACTGCGACTTCTTTAGTGATTGATCACTGTCGCTACAAGCGAGAGATTGAGAAGCTGCTTCTAGAATAGGAATGTGTCAAACGACACGGATCCATGACAGATGTTCTTCTAGGAAAATAGCATTTCCGACACCGAATACTAATAACTGTTGAGAATATATTATACATTCTGTTCTGAAGGTTCCAACCACTTCATTTTGCGTTTGGGATTGAAGAATATGTACACTACCAATTTCATCCGGTTTCCATCAAATGCTTTCTTTGCAATTTCGCATTTTTAGCTTACTAGTTGAGTAATGGATCGGTATCATGCATTATCGTGTCACTGACGGGTTTTTATTAAATAGTGGAATTATTTATAATGGTCTTATAGGGAAATTTCTTTTAAAAAGTCTATTAAATCATCCTTATCAGAATATCCTTCCTGACAACTATAGCAAGAATGTGTTACGTCAGTTCTCCTTTTTTTTATAGCTGATATAAATATCTTAGTGACTAAACAATCTTATTTTAATAGTTAATTAAATTTTATTAAAAGTTCCTCACAAATTTAATTTAAAAAAAAAAAAATTAAATTTTCTTTATGAATCTTTTAAGCTTTTGGATCTGGAAGATGGATCGCAGCAGTGCACGATGGGAAGAAGATGCGGATTCGTGCGACTGCCCGGATCCTCCTCCTCCTCCTCAGTTTGCTCTTCCGCCTCCCCCCGCTCCCGCATCTCTGGAGGAATGCAAGACAGGTTACGAATACGAACTCCACAATTGCAGAATGGAACCAGTCCGAGAAATATACACCCCTCCTAGCTTTCCACTGCTCCCTATCTTAACAGTGTGTTCGTCCGTAATAGTCGTTGCACTTCTTGTTGCCACTTACATTTTTTGGAGGTAAGTTTATTCTTGTAAAATAAAGTGAATTCTTTGAATTCTAACTGATCAGAATAATACGCGAAATTCTATTGGCTGTTATATTATCGAAGAGGAACGTTTAAACCACTGGAAATTAAAATTGTAAATAAGATAAATAGTTTTGAAATATATATATATATTTTTTAAATTAAATAACTAATTAAAATTACGTTTTAAATTATAAAAATATTTCGTAATTAACTAATCTTCCATTTTCTTTATCATTTTCTTTCATAAATTCTCCTTGGAATATGAAGTTCGATTACGTTTTTGTTTATTCAGATCCTCGTTAAATATAAATTTAGTTGATATAGCATTTGATTCTAATTGTCTTCTATTAGTAATTGACCAATAAACAAAGCAGTTTTTATCGAAATGTACGGAACAAATTGATATACTTATCTGCTGAACGCCTTCTACGGAACATATGGACTTTATAGACGTCGTGTTTAGTAGCGGATTTTCTTTGTTATTTTCGGATAGCTATAACTGATTAAAACCTTGACCATATTAGTCGATACGGACACTACACTACACTCACTAAGGATGCTACATACGAGAGTGAGTAGCCACAGAGAAGGTTACGCTATCGTCGTTTTCCACAGTGTTTAAGATGGCGGAAATTCATAGTGTATCACGGGCAGTGGTTTTTGTGGTGGTGATATGGTATATTTTCCATAGCCGACAATCGTTGGAACGGATTTTTGGCCAACGTCGCCGACTATGCGCCTGCACAAAACAAGAATTGTTGTGTGTTTGTATCAGACTGAAGGCTGTAGACCAAGCCCCCACTCTTGTCTCTAAATAAGAATTGGGCTGAAATTTGAAAAAATTGTAGACCTATAAATTCTGATTGTTGTCCTTCTATCTTAATTTCTAGAACGGACTTAGATAGGTGAAAGATCTGGAAACCTTTGGGACAGGAGACCCGATTAACTATATACGAACTTGCGATGCAAACCAGAAGTCTCGTTATTATAATTCAAAAATTTCCTTTGAAAGGTGTCAGATAGACACTATTGTTGAAAGAAAAGTATGATGTACAGAGGCAAGCCACTGCTAATTTGAGATGGAGAGTATATATTTTAAATTAAATAAATTAAAAATATGATTAAAAATTGCAGCCTAGCATTGTGACGATGTCACAATGAATAATTGCTCGTTTAGAAATATACATTGACAATATTAACCCAGAATGACATTTCATCACAAACCTACTTAATTAAACGCTTTTATTTGACTTGTTTTCTATCATATCCTGAAATCTTGTAACTCAAATGTCATTCACTTCTAAAATAGAAGGCTAAAATTTTGAGGACAAATAAATCCGATGGCAATGCATTTTAATGTTTTAGGATGGCTCCAGCCCGAAATTTTAGAAACAACCAACTGTAGAATTTAATCATTTTGTGTATGTTTGTAAATGCACTATAATATGGTGGGTGAGTTCACCCACCATTTGTTTTCCCCCAATTGATAAACGGCCACTGTACTGACCACGTGCTAACGGATGTTTAGTTTAGTCCTCATTCATCTCATAAGAAGTCATCACGAGTAGATTAAGATCACGTGGCGTGTTAACATACCAATATAATATATAAATAATAATAATATTTATATATATAATAGGAGAAGGTGGTATTATGGAACCCGATTTACATTATAGTGAATTGTAAACCATAAATAGAATCGTCAAGACAGTGACGCAACTGTGACGTCACTCATTGATTATGAATGAAACGACCTCAAGTAACTATAGCAACGGGTGTGTGTGATGTCGACAGATGCAGTTTCAATAAACATGGACCCGCTCTTTCGTCGGAGAATCGAGATGTTTGAAAATACACGAATCATTATATAAAAACCATCTGCTATTGAAATATCGAAGTAGAAAGTTATCTATAATTGTATTTAAAATTTTCATCATACTGATTCGGTGACAGAACATTAAGCACACCTCGAATTGTCGAGATTAATGTTACTGATGCTGATGGAGTTCAAAGTGCGAGACAATTAACTTAATTAGAGTTATCTCATTACGTACATAATGTAAAACTCAATAATTTCTTGACGATAATATATATTTTAGTTCAACTGAAGTGGACTGTCGCCTTTGGTCCAGTTCGACTGGCGCCTCTTAGTGATTCGACACTACATCGATCCGTCTCACAGCATTCTTTTCTCCCTCTATGTCAACTTAATTGGGAAACTTTGTGCTAATTAATTCATTACCCAAACTGGGACCTTCAGGGCGTGGAACGCGCTCTTATCGTACCCCCAGGGAGTGTCGTTCTACTCGGCGTGACGTCATTTCCGCTAGAGATAACACGTAAAGACCAATGCCAAGCCTCCTTCCTCCTTCCTTACTTGTAAGATGAACGTTAACGATCGTAATTGGACCAAACCGGCCTCGAACGAATTTTCTCAAACATGTTTTGATGGCTTGAAGAAGTTAAAGACGTAAACCATCAAGTTAATGTAAACTAATAAGGTATTAGTTTTAATGGCAATTTACACTTTCCTTCGGGTCGTAATTCTATATTTTACTAGTTAATACATTCTCTCTACAGAATTACTGTCGAAAAATCTTAATTTAAACCATAGATATATATTAAGATTTCCATATACTGGTATAAAAATCGAAAAAAAAAAAAAACAAACCACGCCTAGAAACATGCGTGCAGAAAATTTATAACAGGGTACCTTAAACTCGTATTAAATTCCATTCATATGCACATCATGGATCTGCATTTCATGCATGCAGTTAGACAAACATTCTGCAGATTATTTTCCACAGTTATGTAAACATCTTACGATACATCAGAATTTATACAGGCTTCAAGAGAACCTAAAAAATTGATCTAACGTTATGCACTGTATCGTTATTATTATTAAAATTCGTTTCAAAATTAAACTTCTGCTCGAATGCTCCAAAATATAACTAAGTAATGTGTAAAACGAACAAAATTAATAAAGCAGGCTCGTTAGCATAAATAATTTAATCTACCATTACAACTATTGTCTGGTGTATAGGCTATTAACGTCTATTCTATTATATAGCCGCGTGCTTAATATGTCCTAAGTATAGAATAATTCAGGCCAAGTAATGATTTAGTCACCCCACCATACATATTTTATGATATTCTCTAATCAATATTATAGATCATATAGTGCTTGTAATTAGGTATAGACGATAGTGTTACGACTTACCAATATGATACATTTTATGGAAGTTGTCATATTTTAAAGTTAATACAATAACAGATAAGAAATTTGGAAAAATTCCTGAACAAAATATAAGTAAATAAGTAGAATTATAATTATATAATGTTTAAATATTTATCACAGAATTTATCATATTCGTTTACTAGAAAAAAAAAACTGTATACAGATTGTTAAAGCCTTTGATTTTTACGTAATTTGCAATAATTTTTGTGCAATTTAAATATCATTAAGGATTATAATATATATTACGAGGTATATAATATATTATANAAAACGGAAACTACGGGACGATGTGAATTGCCTAATCCAAATGGAGTTACCTATGATGATATGATCATCAATCATCATCCAATACGTCTCCCTCCTCAGCCTGGAATTGACACATCCAATCTTCCTCCCTGTCAGGTATATATGCATTTTTTTTCTTTGTAATCTTAATAACGATTATATAGAAACTTTTCTCGATTTAAAAGCTTATTCATGAAGCAAAATAAAGATAAAACTGAGAGAAATGTAGACAAAATTCTTACAAGGGGACATTAAAAAAATATATATATATATACGTTCATATTTTCAAATAAATTTAACTTTAATAGTGATTTTAACTCGGGATATGATCGAAAAGTCTTTTTCTTTTCTTTGTTTTAGCAATTGCAATTTTTAAAAATCTGAATCCAATAAATGGGACTAGTGACTAATATCTCTCGCGAGGATCGCCGTCTCGTAAAACAGTAAAACACTTTTTCCCCAAATGAAGACATTAGAAAAAAGAAAACAAGCAACTTCTTATCTCTTTTTCCCAGACGTCTCACAATTCATTGCGACCAACGTTCGGGTTATGGCGTATTGAGTACCAAACTCCAAACACATATACACGTCGCTACGTCATCCGTCGTCGAAGCATCGACTTGATGTCAGCATGCCTATCGTAATTAGACTTAACGTCTCTTGGCTGCGGCAGATTTTCCAGAATGCTTAGAGAGATGAACGAACTGCCTAATCTCCTTATCTCGACAAGCAGACGGTCTTCAGAGACTGAAAGGAGATTACAGATGTTAGGAGAAAAGGGCAAAACACAACGAAAGAATGAAGACGTTTTCTCCAAAAATCTTGTCCTTGTATTTTGTTTTTTTTTCCACTTAAAATCGTTTTTTTTTCCTCTTTATACTATTTAAAAAATAAAAACTTTTTTCTAATATTTAACAATATTTAAAATCATTTCAAGCAACTCTTTTAATTAATTTTCCTTTCAGAAATCTTAACCCAAACACATTTTTTTTTTCTTTTCTAGTTTTAATTATGTTTCCAATATTCAGTTCGGATACAAATATAATATTATAAATTAAGCGACTTTCATCAACCGCATTGCATATCAATATCTCCAAATTTTCGATTATTCTGCAGATAAAATGGTCATACGAAAAACAGTAGAACTGATAGAAAGTCATCACCGTTAATAGACGAACATTACTCCATATACATTAATGGCATTCACATTAAATTTGGAAACGAACGTATAGTCAGGCGGTTTTGCCTATCCGATTTAATGACAAGCGACCAATCATTGATACATTGCCAGATAAGGTTATGGTCGGGCTTATCAGTTATACAATTAGGAAACTTATCGTCTATCCAATTATCGCTACTTTTCATCCAACCTCAATTACAATAATTAGCTCCATCATCAACTAAAATAGTTTCGACTCTTCCTACCATATTATCCTAATTGTAAAATTTTCTTAGCATCAAAAAATGGCTACTAATATCCTCTTAATGCCATTTTTTTTTCTAAAGGATATATATATATATTTTTTACATTGGAATTCCTAAAGGTACTTGAAACAATTAAATGAATGTACTTTAATCAACTCGACAACGGAACATTTGTTGAATAGAACTAAAGAAAAATAGACTTTGTGTGATTGGCATACTTGATCGTCTCTTAACAATACGATTAGGATACACGTGTAATCTGTACTAAATGGAGACGTACTACAATGTCTTACTCTCTAAAATGACGCTTAAATCCAATGTAATGTGTAATATTTTCGTTGTAGAATAAAAAAAAAAGAGTAAGTTTTATAAATTATATTTCTAGATAATTTGTTTCCTTTCTGTAATAAACTGTCACCTTCTAATATATTAGATAAGTTTCTTGTCTCATTTCGAGTCATTACTTTCAATCTCTTAGAAGTTAGTAGAAGCAATTTGTTGGATATAATCAGTTGTGGAATTTTCAATCTTATTTTTCACTATCTTGATGGATTTTTATCATAATCGACTGTTATATCAGTATTTGGCATCGATAGAAGGATGGATAGAAAAGGTGTTCGTCTCTATGCTTTTCCTCGATTTTGATCCGGGATGCGGTAGAGAAATGAAAGATCGAAAGCTAAACTGGAACGAAATATATCATCCGATTAAAATTTTCTTTATCGGATATCTTTAAGGAAAGAATAAGAAATTTATTTTCTGTAATCTTTAGAGATAAAATTAATAAATTCTCGCTTTCGTCGTCGTTTTTCTTTATTGTTAATACTGAAAGAAAAAAANTTTTTTTATTATTCCTGAAAACCTTTTTACTTTAATTTACAATGCATCGACACTAGAAAAGTATTAAAAAAAATTAAGGAATTAAAAAATTTATCCCTTGTAATATTTCGGTTTTTGTCAGGGGGAGGAAAAAGTTTAAGAAGAGCGAGAAAATTTATTATTGCACAGAAAATGAATTTTATATTCACGTTTATAAAATATGTCCATAAAACTTGTTCCTATTTCTGATTTATATTGCTTTTATATCCACAATAAAATTTTCAATGTAGAATATATAGTATGTAGAGTCGAGGAAAATATTGCTTTCGGAATATCTTTCGCATTTTATACCTTGTTTAAATAGTTGTGCAACTTTGAAGAAAAATCGAAAATATACTCTTTAATCTATTCAGAAAGTAATGAAATCTTAAACGTAGGGTTCAAAGAAAAGAAAAATATCTTTATGTTCTTTTTTTTTTCATAACAAACTAAGTTTGGACATAGAAAAAGCACTTAGGAATAATGTTATATCGCTGACTGGCATGATCGAGGACGACTTAAAAACTTTCTAGCAAGTACCTATTCGGTGTTGTTGTCAGTTCAATAAAACTTAAGAAAGCGTGCAATACTTCAATGTTTTATGATGTCTACAATTTTCAATGAGATAGTTGATCGATTTAGAAATAAAGATAAGTCTTGTTCGCTGAAAAGCCATGGTTAAAGATTCTTTTAGCGTAAAAGTATTCGAGATTTAGAGTCACCAATCGTAGCGTCTTCTTCTCCTTTCCATCCGTCCTCCAACTTTTATTGAAATGCATTTGATCCATTCATCTGGCAAGAAGGATTGTTCGAGTTTGCAAAGCTGCAGAAATTGGAGAACCACTGCAAACACTTTTCTTCAATAACGAAATCTCGCCACTGACCATTGCAATTTACAATTTTTTTTATTTTTTATCCCACGTTGCTCTGTAAAAGTCTCCATTGTCGTTAATTGGAGTTAAAAATTGAGTTTTGCTAACCTTTAATGTAAGAAATTTGTGATAAATAATAATAAACCCGCCCCTCTTTAATTTAGTTATGATCCATTATATCCAAGAAGATCGTTAATATTAATGAAAGATGGAATTTCCCTCAATTCTTTCTAGAGAAATTTAAATAGAATTAATCGTTAATGTGATTACTATCGAAGAAAAATTCTCTCTGTCAATTTAATTATCCACATAAATAGATAATTGCTAATTGAAGATGGATAATCAAATATTGAAATGCCATGTTTATAATGAATAGCTTTAATTCGATAATAATTTAATTATTATGAATACTTCTTTTAGATTTTAAAAGGATATTAATTAAGATAAGAAAAAGTTTATCATTTTTTTAAATGCTTTAAAACATTAGCTAAAGAGAGAGAGAGAGAGAGAGAGAGAGTAAAAAAGAAAATCCAATTTTAAAAATATTGAAGATATATTTCTCGAAAAGTCAGTTATATTCTTAGATATATTTATATAAAAAATGCTTTAAGTCAGTATAGATCATTTATAATAGTGACATATATACTGATATATGCCATCATATAGTGACATAAACTGCAAGCAAGATTAAAGATGTGCAGCGGAACGAACGTTTTACTTTATGAGAATGTTTTTATTCGTTTATTCGAATTTGTGTAAGATATTAAGTATAATATTGAATGAGAAAGATAAGATGAAAGTTTTTTCTTCGTTTAGCTGCCGAACTTGCTTAGTAATTAAAAATGATAATTAAAAAACTCTATTCCAATAGTTTTCTATAAAAGTGCAAGACTAAGTTAATTATCTATTAATGAAATTTAATTATCTTTTAATGATGTTTAATGATAAATTATAATTATATATAGCTCGAATTTTATTAAAGTATAGTAAGAGTAATTAATCTTTTTTTCAGGTTTTACACGTGAAATATGATAGGTATGGAACCACTCATCTGAGACAAGCTTTTCCTTTTCCTCAAAATGGTGTATCGGAATTACCTCCTAGCTTAAATTACGATAATGTTTCTAACGAAACTAGACAGTTATATTCGCCTACTAATAGAGAACCTACTTGCAGTGAAGAGGAATTCGCGGAAGATGAGTTGAGTCTTCAAGACCAATCTGAGAGTCAATCGATGTCTCGAACTAGTTCAACGGATGGTGATCTTTCCCGTGAAGCTACGGCTTCTTGTTCTAGTGACGATGGTAGGAATAAGAGAAAAAAGAAACGAAAAACATTTTCTCGTAGAGGTAGCGAAGGTATGGCCGAAACGACTTTACCTAGAACTGGCCGATCTTCGAAAAGAAACTCTTTAGGTTCTAATGCCATTTATCAAGAATTAGATGGACCTTATGCAGCTTCGTTCTATGAAGCCATACCCGATGCCCTCCGCCATCTTTCATCGCAAGTTGGAAATTACAATGATGGATCGTATCATGATCCATACGTTTACCAACAACCCGAAGTGAGTGCTGGAGGATCTCATAGAGATCTTCACCTCTATGCCAGGCCGGATGACGAAGCATTGTACGGATATCCTAGCTATTTATCCGATTCTTTACGTTATCCTAGGATATATGTACCTCAATCTTCCAATTCCTATAGAACTAGATATGGTTTTACGCATAATCCACCACGAATGGGAACAACCGAAAGACCATGTGGTTCTCCATATCGGTTCCGAACATTTACTGCACCTACCAATGCCGCACGCAACTTGGAAAACAGGGAAGAAGACAGGTCGAACTTAGTCAATTTATCATCTTTTAGGGCAAATGTCGAGCCTTCCTCTACAGAAAACGTCTATGCAACTATCCAAGATCCTATGGGATGCGGGGACCAAGTTGTGGTACATCGTAGTGCATCTAGCCCTGGTGATCAAGAAAAAACGGTTCCCAATAACAGTGAAATTAGTAAACACGACCTTTCTGGTCCGGTGCTTCTTTAATTGAACATTGCTTTTTCTTCTTCCTGAATGGTCAGTTGAAGACACGGACAATGGTTTTGGGGTGAAGACAATGTGAAAGGTCTAAGGGAGAAGAAACGATTCTGCAATTATCATTTTCTGTCCATAGTAGGTAGGTTTTTTTTTAATTCCTTAATTCATCCTTTATTCAATTTTTATCATTAAAAGTTATTATAAACTAGATAATAATTTCAAAGCATCATTTAAACTACGGACTGCATAAATTTCTATAATTCTAAATTAAAGTTTTATTCCATGCAGTATAAAAGAAATATTGATTTTTATAATAAAATTATAAATTAAAATTAGAAATAGGAAAACAATCAAGCATGATTTTTCTAAGAGAAGAAAACAGAAAGAAACTTAATGAACTCATTTAAAGATAGAGAAGTTTTTTCTTTTATATATATATATATATCTCATTTATCTTTTCTGCTGTAGGTTAGGTTGGCGATTGAAAAACAAACAGCGTTTAGAGGCCACAATATTTTGTTGAAATACAGCACATTTGGGAAAGAAGTCATTTGAGCGAAAAATATCTTGCTGGATGCACATATGTCAAAAATTGCGTTCTTCCTAATGCCATTCCGGTTTTTCGTGCATCGATTGAAAAAAAAACTTAAAAAAATAAATAAATAAACAATAAAAATTTCTAGAAATTAATATCTTTTCTTATTCCTCAAAACAAACAGAGTATAAAACAAACAAATTTTCGTTACAAAATGATATATTGCTATTTCTATGGGATAAATACAGAAAATAGTAAATAATATACGAATTTAATGGTTGCTGTTGGAACTTGAAAACATTATAATTACAATCGTATACAATATTAAAAATTGCAAGTAATTAAATCTATCGTTATTTTAAAATTTCAATCTAATATTTTCATAATTACATTCGATCTTTTAACTTTGAAAATTGATATAATATGATTTTTAAACAATGAAAAACAATTTTTTTTTAGAAATTAAGCAATACAATTTTCAAATCTCATTTAAAAAATTTAAAATCTGAAGAGAAATATTGGGCTCGGAAGAGAAAATTGAATAGCTTCGTGTCACATGACAAACACTTGATTAAATTTCCAACTCTTTTCTGTGAAAGTAATTAGCGAGATTTTCTTACTTCGCATATTTTCACTAAAGTCCACTTTTTCTCTCTCTCTCTCTTATTTTCTTTTTTTTACCTTAGAATAATATTCATTACTTCTAAGAAAATTTCCATTTCCTCTTCCTTTTCCAACAATTGAGTAAATTAAAAAATAAGTAAGAAAATTAAAAAAAATTTCTCAATAATCGAGATGAACCGAGATAAAAGATAAAAATTAACACATGCTAATTTTCATAAATTAATTAATAGCGAGTTATCGTTATAATGAATAATTAATGATTGTTTTAAGCGTTTATATAGTTTATATTAAACCAAATGTTTTGTGAAAGATATTCTAGAAAGAAATAATAAGATAAAAATTCTATTTGTTCGGAATCATCCAACGTTCAAACCGTTTTTACTAATGACGCATCTTCTTTATGGACTTGTGCTCACAAAGACGCTTTTCAGATAATCTTTTCGCTCATTAGCTTCGTCTTCTGTTGTTTTTTTTTTCTTTCTTCCAGTTCAAAACTCACAACATTCTTTGCACGTCTTCGTGTTCTTATTCTCAACAGAGTGACCAATTACGCGAGTCAAACTCTTCTTAACTCTTTCCTAATTAATCGTTTCTGTTTATGTTTTGATTCCGTCCATTTAGAAAAAAAAATGAATGAATAAAGGAAAATAATTAATTTTCTAACATTCTTGAAATTTATATATTAAAAACAAAATAAAATCGATTAATTTATTTAAATTTTTTCGATTTTATATCGAATCTGTATACATAAACACACACATAGACATACACAACTATACACTATTTATTTAGTTTTATTTATCAACTTTATTCTATTTTTTTATCTTATAATGTTACAAATTAAGACAAGAAATCGATTAAATAAAGTGTTTAATAATTATTAATTATGTTTTTTTTTTTTCGATTCGATTTTGCATCATCAAAGAAAAATCCTCTAGCAATTAATTACGTACAGTTTTAGCTGTAAAAAAAATCTCCGTAAATATACTAAAGTTAATAAAATATTTTCGTTTTGGGCAATATTTCTTAAAGAAAATTAAATTACGCGTTTAGTACATAAGTTTTAAGATTCAACGCATGGCTTTTCTGTTAGGGGATACAGTAATAAATGCGCATATAGTGTTTTCGCTCGGTTAAAGAAAGATGCCTGAAAGGAAAAGTTCTAGCTAGAAATCGAATCCAAGAGAGCGGAAAGTTCCCAGAAGGCTATTTCGGGGTCAGTTGGGGAGTAAGGTTTGAGAAGGGACTTGTGTTTCGCTTCGGTTCCCCCTTTAAATTTTATTGGTTTCCTGACTAGGATGCAGTTCTCTTTTCATTTCGGGTTTCTCTTTTTTTTTTCTCTCCCCCTTCTGCCTCTCTCCTTCTTCCCTCGCCCCAAGGCAGTCTAGGGAGATTCCGTTGATGAAAACTAATACCATACTGAAGCTTTCCATTCCATTCGTTAATTTTGTTTCTTATTCTTACCGGCGGGATAGGGAAAGATGGAGAGATGGAAAGAGAAAGAGAGACAGACAGACAGAGAAACTCATTTCGCTCGTTCCGGTTTGCCTATAATGGAATCGTTCCTTTTTCCTTAAAGAAGTTTCCATTCCACTTGTTTTGTACGCGGTTCTGGAAGAGGGACAGCTTCTGGGTGAATAAAGTGAATCCACGCTTAGGGCAAAATGATTAGAGGGTTCGGTTTTGGCACGTGCGATTTTCCGCTCACTTATATAACACGATATCACCATGGCAACTTTCAATTTTTAGTTTTAATACAATCTTTTATCCATAGCAATGACGATATCATTATTAGTAAGATACTGTACTTTAAAACTATAAATTTTTTTTCTTTATAAAAGGTTTAAAACATTTTAATAGTTTTTCTATAGTAATGAAGAGAATCTGCGAAAGTTTTATTTTAATTAAGATAATGGTAGTTGAAGCATGGTTTTATTTGCGTCAACAAAAGCCATCAGTTAGACGTCTTCCTTTAGAAGCATTCATTTTAAAGAGAATTTCGGTTGCAGAGTTTTATTTAATGACTCATTAAAATAAATTAAATCGTCATCAGTTTCTTATATTGTATTTTGCTAATTAACATATACAATGTTTTCGTTTAATGATACGTATATGTATATATAAACATTTATATACAAAAATAATTTTTCTATTTATAGGAATGAAAACCTCGTCTAGGAAAATCTTTATCGATCTAAAAGAAAAGAATATTTTTACATATAACAAGATACAAAGATACGTGATATTTGGCTTTTTAGGGTTTAATAAAGAGGTAAATCGTTAATGATTAATCGAAATTAATACTTAAATCATCACTAAATTAATTTCCATCTAGAATAACTTCTTAAGTAATTAATTATTAACATTACGATCTTGTTTAGTATCGAAATTGAATTTTATTTTAGTAATTAACATATAAGAAGAATAAAGAAAATGAATTTTACTTGCTTCAATTTGTTGTAGCGTATTGGAATTAATATCAATTTTAATTTACATGTTTAGTAAATGAATAATAATATTTAAAAATTGGATTTTATTTGAAGAATTAAAACAAAAATTAATAAGATATATTTTGTAACTATCGAATTCTTTTTAACTTTTTATAGGATTTATCTACAACAAAATTGATTAGGTTACTTGAAAATCGGCTTTTAGTCGTCTAATCTTTGATAATTGTCTAAAATCTAAAGAATTAAAGGATAAAAAAAATTGTCTAATAAAGTTTTCTAAGTAAAAACTAATTCGGATTTTATTTTTAGAAAGTTTTACTTTTAAAAAAAATTATGATTGATCAAACCATTGAGAGATATTTTACATTGAAATTTTAAAAAAACAATCCATCCTTATGATAATATCATTATGTATTTACATAATTTACCTATTTGATTGAGAATACGTATTATAATTATCCAAGTTCATCGATTATCGACGTTGTAATGAAGCATACAATGCTACTATCATGTATAAATTTATCTCAGTAGCCTATATAATACATAGAAGTTCTCAGATAGAATTAATTTAAGATTATATTCTAATTCTGTTTCATAATCTAAATGAACTAATAAATAATATCAAATATACGTAATGGTAACTTATATTAGTCATTTTATTTTTCTTTATAGTTTCTTTGCTGAAATGGATGATGTTAAGAGCCGAAAGAAACATCAAAATGAGTAAATTCCCCAACCACAAAAAAAAAAAAAAATGAAACGAGGCCGTGACCAACGACTGGAGTCCGAAAATAGAGGACAGAAGAAAAAAATATATATAAATAAGATGAGGAAGAACGAACAGAGTGTAGATAGATAATATTAAAAAAAATAATAATAAGAAAGAAAAGAAAGACTCTAATGGTGTTTCTATACTGTTTTATTGTTCAAATGTGTTTTGACAAACTGCCGTGAATACAGAATAACTAAGCTTCCGAGATTTTAATAAGAAAAAAAGAAAATACAGCCAATAAACCCTTTAAAATATTATTTTGTAATTTAATTTTATTAAAATTCATTGTACATATTCACAGATGATTTTTCGACTACATAAAAATGTCTTTAGTAATAAAGTTTTAATAAGTTTAAAATAGTAAAATATAATAAACAATATATTTTTAAATATTTAAAGATGTATTTGAAAGGGATAAAATTTTCATAAAAATTAACAATAATATTTCTTGAAGCAAGGAAAAGAGAACAAAAAAAGAAATTTATAGACAAATTTTCTGTCGCCAGGAAACTATTTAGTAGAAAAGCATCAACGCAATAATTAGTTTTAATGGAATTTTTATACCTTTTTTTTATTTTTTATATCGGTTGTAAGCAAATATACGTCGTCAGTCATTAGAGATGTCAACTCTTTGCAATAGAAATAATTTCCTCGTTTGAAAGAGATAGCGGAAAAATAGAAAATTTAATTTATAATGTCATTCGCTAAATGTAATTTTTCGAAGTGTTTTTAAATTAGATTACCGTTATGTGTAAGTTATTAACATAGATCAAATAGAAACGATGACTAATTTTAATAAATTTAAAAAAAAATGAATAAAAATTTTATATAAATGCATAATAAAATTTTGTAATTGTGTTGAACTATATTTAACGTCTCTTTTTCTAGTCAAGAAAAAATTATTTGACTTTTCTTTGGAGTTGATGTCTAAAATCACTCATCTTTAAATAACTGATGGCTTACCTATACAATCAATCAAAGCAACCTATATATAATAAAACTTAATCTGTTGTTCAATGGACAGATTGGATTATGTTCACTGATTTATAAGCTCATTACTATGGTAATTATTGTTTTATTTTTCTTAACTGGGTAATGCGAGAGGTTCTTAGAGTCATTCTTAAGGTCATTCATCAGATTCTCTCTCTCTCTTTTTTTATATATATATACTGAAAGAATATCTCATCGGCTTTTTTATGCGTAAACCTGATGCTTATCTAATCCATCTTCATTTATTTAACCGGCTGATAGAAGAAAGTTCTGTCACAATCTCCCTCCTTGCTTAAACTGATAAAACAACTTTTAAAAATCTTCCATATTTCACTATTAATTCGGAGGGTTTTGCATCTCATAATAATTTTTCAAGAGATTTTAGAAAATACTCTTTCCTTTTAGGATTTTATCTAAGATTATTACTTTATAACTAATTAGACAATGAATTGATTAAATTAATTTCTCTTAAAATAAGCTTATGGTAACAGTTATTTTGAAAAATAATAAGTTTTTTTTTTTAAATTGATTGAAGTGTTGGAGGAGTTTCGAAAGGCACGAAAATAGCCTAAAATGTTTTGCTTAGTGTAGATGGACAGCGAGGTGATGGTTATAAGCTATAGGGATGAAGGATTTACCTTTGGCACTTGTCCAAGCTGCAAGTACGTCCTCTTTTCCGCCAAGCTAGCCAATTCGCTTCTCCTTGGAAATGCCGAGGTAGATTTTCGCCGACGCTAGCGGAATTCCGGCTTTTCCAATCCTAGCTACGAACTTTCTTGCAATTTTCGAAAGAATTTCTCCCCGTTTCATCCCCAGTCACCTCTTTCCGCATTGAAAAGCCATTAGGTCTAAAGTGCGACCGAAAATACTGTACTTAAGTCGTTTTAGGCTGACAAATCTTCTTTTCTAACAATTGTTACTTCTCTGCCATTGTGGCAATACCGCTATATATAAGCTTACCTTCAGTATATATATTGTGGGCACACATCGACTTCGAAATCAAAACGTCGAAAAATAACATTAGGCTAAAATTTTGCTCCTTTTTTATATATATTTTTTTAAATTAATGTAGCAAAAATATATCATTTCGGGCTAAAATATCGTCTAATTATTAATCTTTCTAAAAATTTCTAAACGTTTTTAAGTTTTTACAATTTATTCTACCACTAAAAAAAATACAGTTTTTTTATTATTTTTTATTCTTTCNATTATTTTTTAAAAAATTCTTTCAGTTTAACATTAAAAATAAATTTCTGGCATCGATAATTAGAGGAATATTCTTCATTTTTCTATAATTAAAAGTCGAAAATAACTAAAAAAGTAACTTAAATAGTTTAGATTATCAGTATTTACAGAATAAATACTTTTTTTTTTATATATGAATCAATCGTAAAAGAAAGTTTATAAAATAAATTTAAATTATTTTAAAGGAGTTTAAAGAAGAATGAATGTAAAAATTCATTCAAGAGATTCATTGTAACGTAAAACTATCGAGAAAAAAAAAAGAAAGTTGGCTAAGGAAATGTAGCCAAGTGGTTCAATGTCTCCTGTAGTGGGCACAGTTTCAACAAGCTAAAATATTTATAAAAAATTGGAGAAAGAATATAGAAAAATACAATCTCAGAAAGCCATAAATACAAGGCATTATGAACTCATTGACAAAAGAAACTAATGATAAAATGAAACATTTAGAATCCTTCAAGAAATTTTCTGTTGCTTCCATTCACTTTATTTAGAAGAAATAAATGCGTTTTTTTCGAAAAAAAAATTCTTTAATCCTTATCATAAAGTTGAATGTATAGAGATGTCACTTAAATGTAAAATAAATGAATTCTTACCGTTATTGGATTAATCGAGATTTAGCTTAGAAAATGAATTACAATATATATTCATTGCGATAGAATAGAGTTGGATAGAATAAATTTCATTATCGGATAAACTAAAGTGTAAAGGGGAACGGGTAAGTTAAATAGGAATGGTGTAGTTTCCGTTCCACATTCTACTAAGATCCCAGTGGAAACGTTATAAAGGTGCAATCGGTGACACTTTTATAGTGCAGGAAGATAATGCCCGTTCTCACGGAATGTCGCTTGACAATATCTGATGGTTAACAGTGTTATAAATAGTAAAGTATCATCATAATTTTATTTGTGGAATGTTATCACAGCGGTATGTAAAGCTCACGGTGTGTGTTGGACATCTTTATTGATGATTTAGCCAGTTTCAAAGGATCTAATGCCAAATAGTTCCTATAAACGGGAGTGGAATGATAATCCATTACGTTCCTTTGGTGGCAATGACAGTTCACACCTAAGCAAGGAAATTCAGGTGGGTGGTCCGAGCTCTGACATAACGTATGGTTAAGACCCCACGCTGAACTCATCTCCGGGGTTCATAGAAATCTGAAAACTGTTGATTCGCTAAAAATAAAGATTTACAACTATTATTTCCTATTTCCTATACTATTAAAGTCTTAGAATTCCATCAATGTCACTACAATGATTAAAATGCTAAGACAATGACTATATGTGACAGTTTCATCCCTTAAACTGACGTTTGAAAATATCTAATTGGTTGTTTAGGTTTCGTGTAGACCATTATGGTGACTTCCTTAACAGCTTTCTGTCCTAAAAGAGGCTTTCAATGATGACGTCGTTACGTTATAAAGTGGCAGTTTACAGCAAATACCGACGCCATTTTCACCAAACGGACCTTTAACGAATCATCAATGTTATCCAAGAGTCTAACGTAATGATGACCAGAATGGAAATACGTCAATGTCTACGTTTATAATCGCAGTTGAGAACGTTGATTATTTACCATATTAGATTAATTTGTAAGTCGGTATTACTTTTTTAAAACGATAATTTTCCTGTATATTTCAGTTTTATGACCGTGAACAGATTAGTCGTTACGTGTTCTAAGGTTTGAAATATTTTGTTACATCATCATTCTGCTTTTTGTTAACGACTGGGGTGCACGTTTATTCTCCTTTTGTTTTCAAATTTTTCGATTCCTAATGATAAAAACTTCATAATCTAATTCCTTACTCGTGCTTTAATAATTAGCTATAAAACTTCTAACAATTTATCATTCGTCGCACTCATTAGTTCAATAAAGAAAAAAAAAAGTATAGGTTGTATGTCTTATTAACAACTTTCNTGCGATCAACAGACTCTTCTTGCGTGAAGAGACTCATGCAAAATTCTTCTTCCTCTCAATGATATGAGAATAACAAAATTTTCTAAAATGAATTGGCATCGTTCACTGTCATTTTCCTTTATCTATTATTTATAATTCTTCAGAGAAATAAGAGTTAATAACGAAGATAATCTTTTGTGAATCTTCTTAGAACCAATTGTTATTCTATAAAGTTATAATTTACCTTTTCGAATAAAAGCTAAAATGATTTATTTAAAATGATCTAATTTATTTAATTGCCTTCATAAATTTAGTTTTATTTGCTGATTCGATTATATAAATATTTATCAAACATTAATTCTATCTCATAAGGTGTATGCCAGGATGGAGATGCATCAGCCATCATTTTGTATCTAAACTAGATATGACAAAGTATAAATTGAAAGCTTTCTACGCAAACTTTATACTTATATTTACTTGCTTCGGGATATAACTAATTGCTTTACTCTCATTTTAAAGGACATTCCTCTACTGATGACGTACCCTTTAAGGCATTTGTCCTAAGTTTGCTACAGCACGCAACAGTTTGCCCCAAGACAATCATTTTCTGTTGAATATTGAATATTGCTTCGCTCGATTTTCCTTTAAGTTTTGAATAATTATTGAATCTATGTTAATAATATCGTTTATTTTGCTGTGCGTACTGTTTCGGAAATCTTTAAAATAATTTTCACTCGCTCTAAGGTTGTTGTTACTCATACGTTTCAAGGCGTAAATATAAATTTATTTAACTATTATTATTACCATTTATTTCTATAATTTTTCGTTTTCACAGTTAAAATATCGTGTAAC